TATATATATGTTTTATTCAATTTTAAATAAATATATCCTTTTGAATTGTGATTCCTTAAGACGCACGAATGAGAAGATATCCTCCAAATTTTAAATTTTAATAAACATAAATATTATGTGTAATTTTTCTTTATATTGGTCACGTTGCATTCGATATTTCATCCATCTTGAATATATCATTTATTCGTGCACTCATAAATCATGCGTTTGTTTCTCGTTTTCTAAAATAATTAAAGACAATATTCTCTTGCGTCATGAGTTAATGGAATTGCGACAACGTGATTGGATTTCAATTTATGTTAATTCACGTATTAAGATAACATCCTTTTAAATGAAACGAGTAAAAAATCCCTTTCATTGCGTCAAATATTTTAAAAATACCACTTATTTTAAAATTCATACAAATAAAAGGATCGCAATTTAAATTTAGAATTCAAATTTATAAAATTCCATTATTTTAAACTAACATATAATTAAAGTACTAACTTTAGGTGTTGTGGTTCACGTGTAATCTACTATCAAATCCTTAAAAATATATTATGGTTAAACACATCCTATTTTCTTTTAAATGGTTTCTTTTTAAATATTTTAAAAATATTTTAAGTGTTCACCTACAAAACTTAAATATCAATAACGACTCCAAACTTATTTCAAAATAAAATCGCAACTTTCCAAATAAAATCGAGTGATGTTCCCGAATTAAGGTCCTTCCAACAATTTATTTGAAGCTACTAATTTTTTTTTCAGTTGTGCAACTAATTTTGCCCGAGAATATGACTATTTTACATTTAAGTAAGGGTATATCCCCTAACTTCCCAAAAAAACTTACACGTGAAGTCATGATGTATGAAATAAATTTTCATAAAATTTTCTCTAAATTAATTCTGGTAAATTTGATGATAAATAATTTTAAATTTTTTATTTGATTGAAATAATTTTAATTATATTTTGATAGAAAGTTGTTAGTTTTATTGAAAACAAAAAATATATAGAATTACAATGATGATTTACGAACATAACCGTAAACGTAAAGTAAATTATAAATAGGATATTTCTTATAACTATTAACACAAAAATTAACACCTAGATCCACAATGACCATAAAAGGAAGAAGGTTAAAAAACCTAACCACTGCTCGAATAAATAAAGATACAAACAAATCTAATTGATATATAAATGAACCATAAAAGGGGATGAAGCTACTGAAAGATTACCGACAAATCGTAAATCAGAGTCAAACGACGTGAGAAAACTATTCATGAGCGCAAAACGCATATCCAAATCAATCCGAGAGTCCAAAGCAGGGAAGATCAGCGGGATAACAAATAATCACCATCTTGATCAGTCGTGGCAATGTCAAATCCAATCATGTGAAACAAGATAAACGACAAAAAATCATAAGCTATCAAAAGACATAGAAAAACATGCCACAAAGGCATAGATAAACCTGCTATAAATGTAAAAAAAAAATATGTCACATAGACATAATTATTTTTATTAAAAAAATAAAAAAAAAAAAAAAAATATAATGGCTGGCGGCAACGTTAAATAAAATTAAATAAGAAAAAGTTTAATTGATCAATAAAATGAACATAAGTTGTAAAGAAGGGGAAAAAAGGAAAATACAAAGATGAACTAGAATTTTAATTTATATTTCCATATAAAGAAATCTTCGGTATGAATTAATATTTTCTTAAAAATAAATCTGTATGGACACAAATTAAAAGATATGAATGCACTTTAGTGTAATAGAAACATTGAAAATATATTAAAATAAAATAATTTAGAAACTAATTTATATTTTAAATATTCCAAAATGTCAAATAAGGAGGAAAGCTTGCATTTTTTCCGGCAGTATTTTCGATCAAGAAGTCATTTTCTCACATACGTTTGGTGGAAAAGATGAATAAATCAAAGTATTAAATTTTCTTTTAGGTAAATTTGTAGCATTGCAATTTTCTTTAAGTGACATCCATTGATTGATTAATCCATGTTGCCTTTAAATGATATTTTTTGGCATTTGGGATGGACAACTCCAACTACCATATCCACACGGTAATAAGATTTTATGCGCAATATCCACCCACTTCCACATACCACAACCTTATTAATTAACCCCTTTTTTAGATTATTTTGTGAATCACAGGGTTTCTAATTTTTTATATTTTAATAGTTTAACTAAATTTTGATTTCATTAAGCCCGATAGAATTAATTATTTTCAAATCAAAGCGGGTTATAAGGTATTATACGTCTGAAAGACTCTTAATCATTTAATAACGAACGTTGAAAACCCTTAAAACGACCTACTCGAACACGAGACTTCTAAAGAAAATGATCATCCCTTTCATCACTTAAGTAGTTTACCTTGTACTTTCAATGTAATTATAGATTAAAAGATTTGAACCAGTATTTTTTGTTTATAGCCGGCAATGAGCTTATTATGTTATTTAATCGCATAATTACCGTCATGCAAACCGTAATTAAAGACTTAAAAGTAGGTTTATTTCCATTTATCACGGAAAGAAGCTTTGACCCCAAATATTTTATCTTTCATCATTAGATATTTAAACTATACGTTTAAATAAAAGTACGTGTATGAATCAAGCGACTTTAATGGTTAAGAGATGATTTATATCTAAACGTTTCAGGTTCAAATATTAACATCTGCAAAGTATTGAGCGTTCTTTGTCAAATGGTTGAAAGTTTTTAGAACATATATTATCCCTTAGTAGTGGTGGATCTAGAAATTAAAAATGAAGTTTAAAATTTAATATTCTTTGCCTAAAAGTAATGGGTATGCAAATTTCTTTATTTTATTTTTCTTAACATATTAAACTAAATTTCACATTTTTTCTTAAATAATTGGATGTACTCGACTCTTGGGGGCTTAGTGCATATGCCCATGTCCCTTATAATCCCATTAGAATAATAAAAAAATAAATAAAAGTATGATATTTTAGAAGTTGTTAATGTTTAATTCTTAAAGATTTGAAGACCTCAAAATCTCTATTTTCAGTATTTTTTAATGAAAGAACATTTTCAGTATTATTTCAGATCTAAGGTGATCATTGGCATTAAAAAGAGAGATTAAAGCAATAAATCATGATCATGGTAAATAGTTAGGAAATGAGTTTCGAGTAGGGATTGAAGAGATGGGGGCGGAGATGCAAAAGATCTTTGAACAAATCATGTTACAATCGCAAGGACCAGCCAAACGGTTAAATTATTATATATATTTTATTAAAATAAACTCAACAAATTTATTTTTTAAAATGGCATCTATTTCTATAGCATAGGATGAAGGTGACCGCGTCTATGTAATAGCATCTTTTGAAAAAATTTACCTTAAAGAAACACCTTTAGTTGCACGATATGTTATATACAAAGTATAAAAAAATTAGTCGACCCTTATTTCATATGTAATGGGATAAGGGGAAGGTAGGATAGTAGGCTGCCTCCAACGCCAGGTGAGACCAGCTTCGTATGAGACATCGAATTATGAAATGCCCTCTGTAAGACTCGATTTTACAACCCAAATTAAAAACCTTGTGCTCCACCAACTGAATTGGATGGTCATTTCTTATATACAAAGTATAAATTATATTTATATTTTGGGTCACTTGCAAGTAAGTAAAGATGGTCATTTTAAAAAGATTATCTCAAAAGGCGTGTCCGTGTAAGTTATGTGGTACAAATGAGTGTCATGGTGAGAACTAAAAATTATTGAATACTATTTAATAAAAATGATTAAGATATGGTATCATTCTAATACAATGGGTAGATAATGACAATTATTTCACATTTTTTCTTTAATATTATTAATAATTATTTCTTTTAAAAAATAAAATCTTAATATATTATGTTTTCAAATTGTTCACAAGATTTCGAATCGAATATCAAATAATTCATTTCGACTCGTTAAAAACTTGATCTCAAGTTGAGTTTATTCGAGTTAAATATTTATCAAATTTCTGCCCTAATAGTAGCGTTGAAACCCAAAATTTCACGTGACAAAGCTCTATTGTTACACGACAGGTTTAACGTTTAAACTTAAAAGTTAAAACGGGAATATTCGTTAAGGTAATGTGAGATAAGTGAATGATGGCTTAATGCTCGACAGACGATGTCGACAAATACAACTAGGGGGTCAATGACGTGGCTTAATGTGAGACCACAATCGTCAAAAGAGGGAATAATTATCACTTAGACCACAATGTCCATGTCTTTGGGTTAAACAAAAGCTTCGGTCCACTGTTTTCATGTGATGATCGTTTTGAATCATTAAATCAGTACGAGAATAGGGATATGATGTTGATAAAAAGATGAAGCAATATGCTAATACAAATCAAGAATTTGGATACGAATGTTTGGCTATGAATCAAGTAATATTCAACTTTGAATGCTGTCTAATTTCTCTTTGTTTTTGGGATTGTTTTATAATAGTGTATAAATTATGGTCGGTTATGTGGTAAAAATGCCTATCTGAAAATTATATATATTTATAATTTTGCATAAAAGGAAAAAAAGATTAAAACATGACACAGACATAAAAAAAACCAATAAATCCTTGAACAATAAAAAAGGTAATTTTTCTTTTTATAAAAACAATGTAAACGTATTTTAAAGACCAATAAATCTCATCAACAACCGATTGATCTAATGAAACGAGGCACTAGATATATTGAACAAGGTTAGTAATTCAGTCATCCTCGTCTCTGTAACTGCAATACCTAATCTGTATTAGTCGATCAATAGATTATAAAACAATAATTAATTCAAAAAATTCAATAAATCTCAGGAATGTATAGTTTTTATATAAGCTTAACAATAACATTTTATTTTCACCCAAAATTCATGATTCAATGACATCCAATGTGCCAAATAATGAAAGCCTTTGCAACTTAAATTCTATTTCCTTATTATATTTTTATAAAGGTTATAGATCTCAGGAAATGAAATTTTGTTTGCAACACAAACTGTAAATGAACCTGTCGCACTTGGATTTGGCATTAGATAACAAGAATTTAAAATTTATGCCAATGAACATAAAAGCAGTCGAGAAGTTTTTCAACTTACATCTCCATTTTTTGTATGGCGAGGAATCAAGAAAACAAGCAGCCGAGGTCAGGTCTCCGCTTCTTGACGAACATGCAAACACTCCAGAATTCCCCCAATGCTAGACTATGATCGACTGCTTACAGTTCAAAAATAGAAAAAAATGAAAATAATTGGGAAAAGAAGTGATCAAACCCAATTGGCATCGCTCCAAATTCGTCTTGGAAGGAGTCCCCCATGCTCGCTCATGCTCCCTCTTAACGTATAAAAACTTGGCTTGCTTCGAACCATTCTCAATGGACCTGATCTGTTACCATGTCTTATTGGTAAAGATGTTCCCACTCCAACCAAACTCAAAGCTGAAAATGGTCGGTTTTCCATCTCGTCAAGTTGACCAGAACTATAGTCCATTGTGACAAAAGGAAATGAAGATTGTCCGTAAGTGAAGCGGGGGGTGACCTCACCAGCATTCCACCAACTACTATCAGAAGGGGCAAAATCCCCTCTAAAGTCAGATTCAGGGACAGAAGACTCCTTTTGACTACAGCAATCTCCACCAGTTTCATCGGTGTCGTTGTATATAAGCTTCAGAGCCTGCACAACTTCACCCATAAAAGGTCTGTGAGTCACCTCAGGGTGGACACACATGGAAGCAATTGCTGCCACTTTAGCCATGTCGTCAAAGTCGTATGTTCCGGCCAGGGAAGGATCTACCAGTTGCTGTACACCTTCTCTACTGCTCAGTAGAGGCCGTGCCCAAGTTACTAGATTTTCCTGTCCCTGAGGTTGGGACATATCCACAGGTTTTCTACCAGTCAGAAGCTCAAGAAGCACAACCCCGAAACTGTAAACATCACTCTTAACAAGTAGGTGCCCTGTCATTGCATATTCGGGAGCTACATACCTGCAAATTCACAAAATTCCGCTTTAATAATATTTTGAAAAGCAAATCAGACAGAAGACAAGGAAGTTGAAAGGTTTATATTTTGACCATCAGATACCGATATTCCGGAAGTTGCTAATTCACGACATCTATTTGGTAGAAAAAAAACTTTAAAACTTGCAGGCGATATCAGAAATTGATGATTGAAAATGACATTTCAGACATAAGAAACTGTAAACATTATATATCAAGTGTTTTAATTTATAAGTCCATAAAATTTGCATGGGTTAACTTATAATTAATATATACAATACTAGATGGTTTCACCGTCCAGTAAATTGGAGGATATGTAGTGATACGCAAGAGGTTTCAAGGAAATTTAGAACTATCGTATTTTAATTATGCATCGGCAAATAATTACCCAAAAGTTCCCATGACTCGGGTGGAAATGTGCTGGGATCCTTCAGTTGCTTCCCTTGCTAAACCAAAATCTGAGACCTTTGGAGTGAAGTCATCCTCTAATAGAACATTACTAGCCTTAAAATCTCGGTGAATCACTCGAGGGTTAGAATCTTCATGAAGATAAGCCAATCCTCTAGCTGCTCCGAGGGCAATCTTCAGCCTAGCGTCCCAATCAAGAGGTCCTTTGTTTTTGTCAACACCTAAACCACCAATACAAACACTATAAAGAAACTTGGATATGGTCAATCCATCTTAGTCAAACTAGAATTTATATATATACTGGTAGCATTTCAACAGTAGGGGCGTAGGCAACATAGATAGGAATTAACAGTATAAGTTAATAAGTAGCTTCATTAACATAACGAAAAATACTAAAATGAACAAGCAATCAGTCCATTAAACGAAACAGACAAAACAATGGATGATTTGATAAGGAAAATATACCATGCAAGTGTGATTCCACACTTCCATTGGGAACAAGTTCATACACCAAACAGCGTATGCGTCCTTCAATACATATACCAACAAGTTTCACAAGATTACGGTGGTGCAATCGGCTAAGCATCTCCACTTCCGCAATAAATTCACGATCTCCATTATGATTATCTCTTGTAAGTAACTTAACGGCTACCTCACTTCCATCTTCCATAATACCATGGTAAACTCGTCCAAATCCCCCTTCACCAAGAATCCTCTTTGAACTGAAATTGTTCGTTGCCTTCTCAAGCTCAACAAGCGTAAATGTTTTAACTGGGAGAGCACAAGTAGCCATGGTGGAAATGAGTGACATTGATGGAGAGCTTGCCATGCTGCTTGACAAGATAGAACCAATGCCTGCGTTAACATGAAGATCAGATTATAATATATTCCTACTTCAGATATCAAAATAATCCATACAGACAACAAGGAAATATAAGTAGCTTAGATCCAGGCGTCAAAATTCCATTTATCATATATTCCAACTTCAAAGATGATTAACAATTATGATTCAATTGTTGCAGTAACTGAAAATACATATAGACATATGTCACATATCAGCTTAGGGTTGTACCTATGCCTAAACAACAATAGTGGGAAACCAGTTACCCACATCGCAATGCATTGCAATTCCATGCAACAGAATATGTCAAACATAAAGCTAACAATCTAACCTACCAGATCTTTTGTTCAATGAAGAAGGAAATGCCGGACTAACAGCATTTGATGGTCTTCCAAACTTCCTCCATTTTATGAGGACAGAGATTGCTCCAGCTAAAACCAATAAGAGCACAAAAGCAGATAAAACAATAATTGCAACAATCCTGATGTTCATCTTTTGGTTCTTGCTAACAAAATTAGCTGTGATAGGGAGATCTCCACTACTTCCAGTTGGACCACTCCCAAAAATACCATATGGTGGTGAAACAGGAACTCCTGAAAACATATTTCCAAATTAAAACCATGACATGAAAACAAAATAGCATGACAATAAGTTCTTAAAAGAAACGGAGATGACCACCTGGATAACTGATGGATACCACCTCATATGTTCCAAACAGAGTTGAATTTAGAGAGAGTCTTTTATGAAAAAGACGGTCATATGTAAGAATTGCAGTTGTATTATCAAACTTCTCTCCAAGTGGAACCAAATTAATCTCTACCAATGTTCTCTCCTGATTTTGAGTATCAGCTGTGGCACCCATTATTTTCACTTGACTTTGTTGGATATATATGCCTGCAGCAATCTCAATCTCTAGCTCATCCATCACAGGGAAAACAGCATAAGGAGCTACAGTCAGAAGAAGTTTGACTTTCATTGGGAAAACACAGCCACAAGGTGAACCAAAAGGGGTTGCAGTAAGTGGCTCCGCACAAAGTTGATCGCAACCTGACAGATTTATAATAAAAACCCACAAAGAAGCAAAACAAGCATTTAGAGTGTTTTAAAACGATATTTAAAAAAAATGAAAGCACACGATACCATGTGAAGGCTACGCACATGCTAAGACTCATTCATTATTCAAACATTCTCCTTACGTGAATGAAAATATCAACCCAACCATAATCCCCAAGTCTAACAATAAGTTTTGTAGACCCATCAATTAAGGTTAAAGTTTAAACAACAATTTAGTTTTACTTTTGGCAACAAAAAAAAAAGAAACCAAGCATCAGCAGGCCATCTCCTCTATATGTTGCTTAAGGCGCATAACATGTTACCTTGTTCTGAAGGTGATGGAGCATCTGCTCGAGGTTTAACATGAGGATGGCGATGGTGACCACCATGACGATGATGCCTGGATGCCACATGGTTATTGGGGGTAGCAACAGGAGCTGCAGTGCAATATACATAAGCCATATGGCAGCATTAATGTAGTAGCAAGGTATTGGAAACAGATTGCAATAAGTACCTTGATGGATAGGAGAAGTCACAGGTGCAGCAGCAGGTGCAAAAGAAGGATTAACATGTTCCTGGGGTGCTCTTGGTAGAGAGAATATCGCGTGCATTGAAATAGACCTAACTGCTAGGATAGAAACAACCTTATTGGGTAACATAATCTATACCACACATCTATATAAACTGGTAACATAACTTGTACACTTAGTTTTCTGTAAATCATGAATTTATCATATTGGATTATATAACAGAACAACTAATAGGAGGATCCAGAAACCTTTAGATAACATTGACCTAAAAAGAATAGGAATTAAACAAGAAAAAAAGAAGCTTTCACTTAAGCTTTCTAATGATCGGATGCACTAAGAGAAGAGAATAAGGTAACAAATGAATAAGAATAACATATCTCATCTCATAACCATGCATCCTTCGTGAATAGACAGGTAAGACTTCCTATTCTGAACAGAATACACAAAGATCCTTAGAGATAATCTTAGAGCTATAACAATCAATGGGCGGATGAAAATAGACAAAAATCACAAACTAGTCAAAGATAACAATTTTTAATCAGGAACACATCTATCCATCTACTAGAAGTAGAAACCAAATGTCTCTTCGAATGTTTTCAGTCCTGTGTTATACTTGCCAAACATGTTGTGTTTACCAAGACACATGGCTCAGAGCAAGTTCAGTGGACTAGGCCACAGAGAAATATATATCACTCAAAAGTTCTTTTACTTCAAAGATCTTCAGGTAACATTCCTCCTTATATCTACATCAAGCTATATGGAATTTTGGAGATACATAATAGGTTCTTTCAAGTCTAGACAGGAGGAAAAATCAAGAGTTCTGTTCAACTGCATTAACATTTAAGATCAATGAAATAAATGATTACCACGGTCAACTATTGATTCCACTGCCGACAATCGATGCACTGGTTGTAAAGGATACAAGAATATTCGCAGCCCTGAAATTAAAGTACAATAAAATGACATAGATGTTAATCTTCCTTCATTAACCAGAGTTATTGTAGTCACTATATTAATACATGTCCATGTCTGTATTTGAATTTGAATTATTTGTACCGTCCAATTCATATCAGTTTTGAATAAAATCAGTGCAGTACCAGCATTATACAGTTTCAGTTTTAGAACTGGTACATTTCAATTGTATCAGTCTGTACCAACTTGTACTTATAGGTGCCGGTTGATTTTTATTTTTGTACTTTTTTATTCTTTTAACTAATTAGTAATGCTTCTTCTCTGATGATTAATTTTATCTTTTCACAGTTTCATTCAACGATTGAATATGTTCATTAAATTATGGTATTTACCTTCAAAACACAAGCATTTATATTTATATAAACATAAATTTTCAAAATTATAAATATCAAATGAATAAAATGAAAATATACTTCAGTATAAAACTTGAAAATGGACTGTATAAAAAATATTTCTAAAATGTCGATAAAACCCAAAATGGTATATCAAAACATTTTATTTGCATGCAGCATTTAATAACTGTATATCATTTTAGCAAGTATAAATGTATATTACACGTTTACAACAAATTCGATAACTGTGAAAAAGATTTCAACACTTCCAAGAGTAGTAGATTGTGATTGTTTACTCAAAATACCCAAAATAAAAGTTAAAAAACATTTTTAATAAGATATTTTATTCTCATACTCCCTTTTAAATGGTGCCACAGCGAAATAAACTCGTATATATTCACATATGAGACATGGTATAAGATAATTCAACTACAGCATTTTTTGTAAATCAGCAGAAAACCAACAGGGAAACGTATGTTGCTCAAGGGACTATAATACTGATCAATTATCTAAGTTTTCCCCAAAATTCCCAATTATTTTCGAAATACTATAGGGAACAAGGGGGCGAACTTAAACTTAATGGGGATGAACTAAAATTCCAAAGGGTGAACTAAAATTCTAGAAGGTGAAACAGATTTTCAATAAGAAATATATAGAAAAAAATTAAAATATATGATAAAATTAAATTTCCAGGGGAGACTGCCCCACCCACCCCTCGGTCTATCCCTGATAGGGAACGAGAAAATTGGAGACTTTATAGGTACTTAGTTTTGGTGACTAAACGACTATTCAAAAAGCAAAGCATTTTTTATATTTTTCATTTTTCCCGGCGAAGGCCAGCCAGTGAGCTAAAGGGAGAACTTTAAAGTGGACAAATAGTTAAACATAAGAAAGCCAATCAGCACTAAGCAAAATCTACTCAGCTTAATAAAACATGTTGACCTTTTATTTATTTCCAACTAAATTTAAAGCTGGACTAGAACTGGATATTGCTCCACTTCCTTTCGTTTCTACTATATTTACAGTAACCAAATAGATAAGTAAATAAATAAATCTAACAAAAGAAAACAGCAAGAATCCAGAGAGAGTGGTACCTAAACAAGAACAAGAGAGAAAGCTGAGCAAGTAAACAAAAAGCAACTGTAGCAGAGTCAAAGCAGGCATCTTCTCTCGCCGAGCCAGAGTCCAAAGCAACCATCGTCAGACACGGATATCAACTCGAACCAGACGAGCCTCGCCGGAAAGCCACCGGATAGTCCAAAGGTTAAACCGGACCATTCTCCGCCCGCCAAACACTCCGTCGCATCCTCCGAGCGAAACAACACTCCTCATAAACCGACCAAAACTGAAGCTACTACACTGCTCCACCGAACCCCCAAAAAAAGCAAACGGTACAAAAAAAAATCCCTAGAAAAAAGAGAAGATTAAGAAAATGCAGCGCTCCACGATTATAGATCCATGAAACGCGGCAAAGATCTACCGCAACAATGCAGCGAGAAAAGTTTTTCTTTTCTGGAGAGAAAAAAAGGGAGGAAAAAGAGGGATCTACTGTAAAGAGCGAGGGGAACAGAAAAGAAAGGGAAGATCTTCAGAAGCAGAGTATAAAATTTCAGAAAGTGAAAAGAGAGAATTATACGATAAACTTTGCGAGAGTGGGGGAAGGTGGGACGTGCTTTTATTGCTTGGGTGTACCTACAGCAAACGCAAATCCTGCTTCTTTGTTTGTTTTTTTCTTTTTGTTTTTTTGGCCACTACTGCTTTTTCATTTAAAATAAGAGGGAAAATCGGAACAGTGGACTTAGTAGATTATAAAATTAATTTATTCATTCTTTTATTAAAAATATGTATACTTGGCAAATTTTGGTAAATAATAAAATAAATATAATTCCAGAAATTTGATGGCGGTTGTCTGGTACGCTCTTTTATTCAGCGCGTCGTTGTAACGCACCGACGAAAACGACAAACCTGAAGCCGTTTGTTGCCGTCACTTGAAACGTTTTTTCCCTTTTAAGGAACTCCTAAATTATTATTTCTTTAATTTAAATCATTGTATGCCAACATTTTTGTTTATATTTGGAAAATATATCATATTATATGTGTGTGCCCTTTCCTACTAATCAAATCAACCTTTTTCTTATTTGGTTTTATTCCATCAATCGTAACATCGATTTTGATGTTAGTTATCGGTCATTATTTATTTTAATTTTTTAATTAGAATAATTTTATTTTTATGTCACGTTTATTTTTATCTTTATTTTATAATTATCTTTGTCTTTATAACACGTTTTTAATTTTCTTTCTCGATTATTTAGTCGTTTATTTTATTTTATTTTTCTCATAGTTAAATTTGACGACGTTAAGACTGATCAAAATGACGCTTATTTGTAATCTTATTGATCTTCCCTACTATAGACTATCGAATTGAATTTGGATACTTGATTCTGCGTTCGTAGATAATTTCTCACGATGCTTGGATCGGGTTTTTGGTTCTAGTCGGTCTTTCAATAGTTTAATCTCTTTTTGTGATTCGATTATCGATACAATCAGATTTGTTTGTATCTATTTTTTATTATAATTTTTGCTTTATTTTTTAACTTTTTTCATGATCCTTATATGATCTAAAGTGACTGGTTTAAATGTTATAGTAAAATGTTCAAAATATATATTTAGTTTAAGATGATAGTTGTAGACTATTGTTGTAATTTTGGATATCTTTACTTTTTTAATAAGACTAACAATTTCTATTAAAAATCAAATATATAATTATATTTTTAATTAATACTTAAATTTGTAAATACGTTTAAACTGATATTTATATAAATTTTTATTTAAATGATATTTAAATTTTATTTCTCCCATACATTTACGACGTGAATTTGATTTTTACAATATATTTTAACGCATTCAAAAGATAATAATAAACTCAAATTTGAAAATTAAAATTAGTATTTAATTTTTATCCTTTATTTATATTAAAATTTTATCTATATTTTGATAAATAAACTATATTTTCATACGTTTAACTTAAAACAACGAAATCAAATTTAAATAAAAAATTAATTTTTTAAATAAATATAAATATTAATAGCAATTTAGACAAAAAAAAGTTTATAAATATTAATATAAACTATAAAACGCAATTTAGATATAGAATAACTATTTTCTTATCATAATTATGATTATATATATCATGTTAATGAAATTTTAGTAATAATATTAAGATTTTGATAATTTTTACGCCCTATGTTTTCTTTAAGGCTTTTCCTTATGTTTGCTTCTTCTTTTTTCATTCGCTTTATCGGTTGACAACAGCAATAGTTTTAGGGTTGACCGTGGATAGGCATATTTTTTTATTGTATCTTTATTTTTTTTAAGTTTTAATAATTATACTTTTATGATATGTTTTTTTTCTATCTTTTAATATGTTTTATATTTCATTTATCAGTCGTTTGACTATTTAATTTTCTCATGATTGGATTTTATATAGCTTTAACTGATCTATTTGTATTTTTGTTGATATTTTTTTGTTTTGAATATTCATATTGATTTTGAATATGCAGTTTGTGTTTTACAACATTTGACTCGATCTCACAACATATATTTTACGATGGGTTGTGGTCTTTCAGTAGTTTAATTTTGTATGTGGTGACACAAACTATTTTTTGTATTAATATAGAGTAAGTGCAATGCATTATCTATTAAAAGATAACTCATAACCTTTTGATAGTGAATGCTCAAACTCCTGATATTTTTTATACATGAACCCAGATCCTCGAAGAGTAATTTAGTTCGTATACTTTTTTCTAACGCTAAGATGCTGATATTGGGATTGGATACGTGTGGCATCCACCATCACGTAAGCACATAGCATACCTACTTTACTTACCTTGTTGGTTCGGACTCTGGACTCCAAATCTCATTCTTCAGGAGATGAGAGGTCAAGGATAGAAAATGAATCCTCCTCTAATCTTGTTTTTGGAAATTTTCATCGAATTCTTTTACTGTTTTTAAAAAAAAGTTTAATTAGACTCTTCTAAAAGATAGTACAAAGATCCATAGCTGGTGAATTCGTTCATTAATTTGCTTGTATGTTTCCAGTGAAGTGCATGCATCTCTATATTATGCAACTTGGCAGGTATATATCTGGAATCGACAAAGCCCTACGTCTATTGAGATATTATTATCCGGCATTCGATGATAGTTAACTGTGTCAGCTGGAACCCTAAAGGGCCTTGATGTTGGCATAAGATCAACGAATTTGAGTTATTTCCCAAACGAACATAGTTTCAAAATTAATCTAAAACGTAAGATAAAACTATCAAAACCACACAGCGGATAAACTAGTCAAACTATTGAATATTGAAACACAAAGTAAAAATCTAATAAATAACAATAATAGAGAGAACACACCAAATTTACGAGGTTCAACGAAATATTGTTTATTCATTAGGTACACCATCGGATGATAACTTCTTTATCAAGAAAATATTACAACAAACGGATTTTCTTATAATTTCCAAAATATCACAAAGTGGGAGAATGGAGAAAAATAAATGAGAAAAATAATTTTTGGGATAATTTCAAGTGAAAGTGATTAGGCCTATTTATAGTTAATTTCTAAGAACCAACTTACAAATACCATAATAGTTTAGAGACTAAAAGATGAACCATGTACAAAAGTTGGCTACTTGACAACTTGAATCAACTTGTCAATATTTGGTATCCATGGTAGCCAATTATCAACTTGAATCAACTTGTCAAATATTCGGGATCCATCGTAACCACTTGTGAACTTAAAATTTTCAGTCGTAAACTTTGATGTTTATCAAATTTGATCAATTTTCCAACCTGTAAGCCTGTCACATAAAAAAACAATTTATAGCTGTTGTCTAGCCTGTAGCAGCAGGTATTCCATTTGATTCATGTTATTTTAAAAATCAGCATGAAAATTTTAGTTTGGTGGCTGTCCTGTTTTTGCCTCCCACCCAGATTTTGCTTGTTTTTCTTGTAAATATTTTGTACCCTACTTTTGTCCCTGAATGTCTTACACGATACCACTGTTTCAGTACAGCGAAGAGAATTTGTTTCTGTGTTCATCTTGATGAGACGGAAGAAGATTGGATGTTTACATTTTTTTAGATATTGCTTAATTATACCAATATATTTATCAGTTCAATAAAAAAAATTATTTTCCATATCCATGGCTTAATGGTAATATTGGTCTTCCAAAATTTTAAAATTTTACGTTGAATTTCAAGTTCCGTAAATAAATGAAGCTGTCTTCTTCATGGCAAAACGAAAACAGTATAACAGAATGACCGGTCAAAGGAGGCATTTGGTGTGATAAAGGATTAGTTTGAATAAGACATATTCCTTTGACCAGAAAAAAAATATTAGCATTTTCAGCTACCTGGTTCCTTAATCATCCCTTGCATAACCTTGCTTAATAATTATGGACTACCACATATTTATTCAGGTCACGAAGAAATCTATGCCGTGAGGAGAAACAATTTGTATTGGTGACGTAAAGGAATTAGAGAAGAAATTAATGAAGGTATCTGTATTGATAATATAATAATTACTGATTAGCAGAAGAAGACTCAAATTTATAGTGTTTATCAACAGCAACAGAAACATCCCAAATGCAGATAAGACCTTTAGGGATGATTACGAGATCTCCGGCACCGAACTCTACACACTCCGTCGTCGATGTACCTTTTGGGTAAACCCTAACTTTCCCCCTCAGCAAATAACACGTTTCCTCTGCCTCAAACTTGAGATGGTACCTCCCAGGTGAAAAACCCCATCTGTTATTCATTCTAAAAAATTAACCCTCCCCCCCCCCCCCCGCAAACTAAATTATTAATGGAGCAAAAAGGAAAAAGGGCCAACACTTGATGTTGAGCTCCGACAGTTTTTGACTCTGATGGGTTTTCTTTCTACGACAATTCTAAGGCTATTCTCAGCCATATCTTGGTTAAAATTCTACAAACAAGAATTCTAATACGAGGAGCTGGAGAAGCACACTTTGTTTTTCTTTTCTCCTGGCTTGATCTGGCAGTCTGTTAGTAATAAGCAAGCTGAGGGTTTGAGGTGTACATAATATTTATGGCTTTGACAGGGGAGTGAGATTATAAGATTTCTGGGTTTCCAATACCGATACAATTTGTGTAAGATTTCATACGTTCTGGTGTTTTAAATCCAACGTATTAATAATTTGCATTCTAGAATTTTTAATCCATATTTAATGTACCATATTAGTAAGTGTAATTATTATAATTTTATAGTTTTATAAATTATAGTTGCTAAATATTTTTTTGAATTAATCACTGATATCTTATCTATTAACCGATTAATACAAATCGGGTATTGTAGAGGCGATGACGACTCTCCCAACCTAGTTTATTCTATTCGCAAAAGCTATGATTTGAACCGATGACCTTACTTAAGAGATCTAGTGTCTCGTCCCACTAAATCAATCGGTTGTTGGTGGTACTAAATATTTTTAAATCTTAATTTATACATAGAGACGGCAGGTCGGGCTGATGACGGTTTTGCATATTGCTTCCCCCATTATCAATATTTGACTTAAATTGCCCTTCTACACATTTCAAAAACGGTTAATGGAAAATTACTATTTAATGGCAAAATATGTTGACATATATATTTTGAATTGAATCAGATTTAATATAAATGCATAATTTGATATGATATGGTTTTAGTTTTTAGTTATAAAAATATTTCATTATTAAAGTAATTCGATTTTAGTAATTTAAATATTTTAAATAATAATAATGGGAAAAAATGGTATTGGCGTGAAATGGAGATTATTATAATGGAGATTATTATAAAAAAATGGTTTCCGTAGATGTAAGATGGACAGACGAAAGAAGATAGTTGGATGGACAAAATAAGTGTTTGACCAGAGGGTATTACGGTCTTGGAGATAATGACACCGTGACACAGCTGTCAGTCAGGCTCAGGCTCAGGCTAAATCTGTCATCTCACTTTTGTTGTGGTCTCCTTAATCCATTCATTATCCTCTTCCTTATAAACAACCACTGTTGCACGTACTCCACGTGTAAAAATTGTCTTACTCTAAACTTGCCAAGATATTTAGGGGGTGACAACAGGACGGAGGCGGTTTTTCATTACTTCGTCCTTAACATTTGTGGATATGATTTTAAGGAATTCTCATTATATGTTTCGAGTTTTTTTGTTTTCAGAACCATTCCTTGGGAATCTATACGAGTTTTGGTTAATTTATATCCTAAAAAATAAATAAACATTTTTGAATCAATGCAACGTTTAAAATTTATAAAACATATTAGATTATCTCAAATTGATCTCTATCTATAATATAAAAGTTTCAAACGTTAATATTTATCTAACACCCAATGTATATGTACAATCTTAACCATTTTCAATCTTAACTATTTTCAATCTCAACAAACCAATATATATTAAATGAGAAAATATCTAAACTTTAATTTTAGTTCCTTTGAGATGTAACAGTGACAACACGTAATCCCACATATTTTTCAAAGATGCCCACGGTTTTTTTGTAAAATATCGGAGATCCCCACAGTTTTCCACATGATTCGAATATAGTAATCCCTATCCTCAACCCCATTTGAACTTCTGGAATAAAACTTCTGTCATCCCCATCCCCGTAGGTAAAGATTTCAGTTATTCCCCATCCTGTCGATTCGGATCCCCATGATTTTCGAGTTTTCCCCCAATTGCCACCCCTAAATATATTCATACTAACAAAAATGCAAAATTGAATTTCATCGTTAAAATATTTAATTCACAATTATAGATACAATAGTAGAAAAATTATATGTAAATTTTATAATTATATAAACAAATAATAAATATAATACACAAACAAAATACATAATGTTTGTAAATATGAATAAATACAGAATCTCGAATGACCGATGATAATTTAAAATTTATTTTGGAGGTTGATGTATATATTGTTGATAATAAATGTTGAACATGTTTTGTTATTTAATGTTAAGATGGGTAGTGATGTAGTCATTAGAGAAAAAAAAAAAGAGGAATGATAATTCATGAGATAAAAACATACATTTTTTTTATTATATATCAGGACTTCAGGAGGAGAGAAAAGAACACATCACTCACCAAGTATTATGCTGTATAAACTAAAATTCTATGGCGAAACACTGTAACTGAGTTTGGAACAAAAACATGTAATGATAGGAAACGAACAAGAGACACAAAGGGATCCAAATTGCTCCGACTTTTCTGCATTTCTTTTCCTTTGTATGTTCCAAGGGATGGATTTGAGAGAAACGTGTTCTACACGGGCTTTCTTCTTTGCCTCTGGTTCCTTTCTTCAGTTCTTGGCGCTGTGAATTATGAATGAGACTCAAAGCATTGTAAACAAGGTCAGGCATGAATAAGCATACATACCTAATCCGGTAGCCTCGGATTTCCTCACGATTCTAAGCCTCTTCACCAAGCTACCGAACATCCTGAATCAAACCCGAGAACATACACAGTGAGTGTTAAGGAGATGACCAACTTTCCATCCTTAAGGCAAGTTCAAGTGCACTAGAGGAATGGCACGTATATGAAGATTTTAAGCTTTTTCCAGTAACCCTTCCCCTGCTTTATCCTAGAGTCCGAACTAATAGACGGTTTATGCATAATGGAAATTATACGTACTCCCAAGGAACATCTCCAACAAGCATCCAGTCACCCTCCCTGTCCTCGTAAGTAAGAACAAAATCATATGATCCATCTAGCAGTTTTGAATGTCTTGTCGTTTTGTTTGTCACATCATGCTGCCGTGCCCTCGACCCTAATAACAAAGCATGACAAACACTAGTAAGAGAAACATACTTGGATGATCACCTAATAGAAAAATCACAGTACACTCTTCTAAAGTGGAATTCAACACAATGCTTGAAACAAAATAAATTAGGGAAGCTCGCCTGCTGGATTGGCACTTGGGGTGGTTTCAAGGAACATTTCTTCCAATGTTTTTGCTAACTTTTCGTATGATTCAGGGGCATTCAGATCGACCTTCCTTCCGATCGGAATTCCATCCATTTTGACCTTCACGAAAAGAGATGTCCTGCTGGCATTAGTGTTACTACCACTACTATGGTAGCTGCCAATGGTGCTGTTCTCAACCATTGAGGTCTCCTTTCTACAGTTCTCCGTAGTCGTCGAGTTAAATCCTTCTGTGACTGATGCTTTTGCTTGGTTAACCATGCTATTCATTCTATAAGCTCTGATGGGAGGCCACCCAGCCACTTGACTGTTTGCATTTCAAACAAAATCAACAATTCAAGCACCATAACTCAACAGTATGTTAATAGAAAGAAAGGTGTGAGCTACTAACGGGATACTGAAAAGGTATCAAAGAATAATCATACACATTAAACCGTCTCCTACTTAATATGGTTCCATTTCTACTTTAAGTTTGGTTCAAGAACTGGAAAATTGGATCAGTTGTATAATACAGGGACAATCATCCTGCATGACCAAGTTGCCAAAATGACGATTTTTTACCTTCTTATTTTTTCGTCTTTGTTCAATTCGTTCATCATTATCACTCATATATGTCACAATGTAAGACCGTCTTATTAATCGTAAAAGTCATTCAATGATTAAACCATGTATTCTAAGCTGATTATCGGATCAACAATCAAACAGGAACATAAACCGAGTTTGGAATTGAAGACCGGAAAGTTGAGATCTATCATCATCTATATCTTGAAAATAAGTAGAAACCGTAAATAGCAATGCTACTCAAGACTTAGGTATGACACGAGCATGTTAAAACCTTTTTCCATGTATTTGGGGTTTTTAAAGGATCATATCCCTACACAACATGTCCCAAAATGGTGTCCGAAAATCAGACACTGATACTCCTAGGAACAACATCGCTAAAAATAGTATGTTTGCAAAACACAACTAACAGGATCCGTCTCAACGAGAGTGGAAGCATCCCAAATCCACACATAATCATCAACCTAACTCTTTAAATTGTCTCCCCTTGGAAACCCCTTCCTAAATGAATCAATCCTTCAAGAAGTATCGTACTAAATTACGGCTGTAAAGGTCTCATCTTAACGGTTTTCAAGCTCACTACGATGACACAACCACATCCGCAATTAAAAAATATAGTTACGTTTAGAAAACATATCATATCCAAGTGTTCGCAAGATCTACAACCGCTATTTAGTAGTATACTTTAGCCTAGTTGGATAAGTCTAGTTTTCTTTTCCTTCCCTAATTCTCTCCACCATGATCTCCTATTCATTGTAACAAAATCGAGTAGTTGATGAGACCATCCCTTACGTCCTTAACTAAACACCATAACAGAATATATATGGAAACATGGAATATTCATAAATCAGGCTAAAGCTAAAGCATACCAAGATCCATTAGCAGCAGCAGCCACTGAATCAGCAGTCCTCTTGGTCCCTGTCGTGACATTAGCTCCACTTAAAGAAAACGAAGAGGAGGAGGAGGAGGAGGGAGGAGGAGGAGACGAAGAAGGGAAATCTTGAGCGGTCAATATCCTAGCATATTGACCACACTTTGAAGCCCGATGCATCTTGGAACCACCACCGCCGCCGAGGCTCAAGCCAAGACCCAATTCCAATTCGGATTCATCTGGGCTTGAAGAATCTTCAGAGGAGACCACCATGTTATCCTCCCTTGACACGCTACTCGTTGACCCACTTTCAGAACCACCATTAACCATGGAAATATAACACCACCAAAGATTCCAACTTGTAAGTGGAGAAAGCAAGAGAAAAAGTGATGAATTGTGGAAGTAAAAGGCTGGAGCTTTTGCTGGCAGAGGGAAATGAAAAGATTGGAGACTTTGAGAGGCTCTTGTCTGTGTTAAACCCTAAATATTAGCTTCCCATTGTTTGGTGGATATGGAGGAAACTGGACCGGAAGAAAAAACTAAAACTGCTGAGAAAACAAGGAAATGTCAGGTTGGCAACGTTTTTTTGAGTTACGGGTAAAATAACCTCGTATATTTGAGCGTAAACTATAAAAATAGTCACCAAACTTTTAACATATATTTTGGTTACAGAACTTTCAAAAACTGTAATATAATCATTAAACTTTTTGAATTTTTTCATTAGGATCAATGTCACTCAAAAAGTTCATACGGCGAATTCATCAAGTAATTTTAGTAATAAAAATTATTATTTTTTAAGAATCTAAATCTTAATAGTTGTGTTTATAAGATTACCTTTACTATCGTAAATAAAGAAAAAAATTTAAATATATATTAGCTTATAATGGTTCTTATATTATTTTAGTATTTTAGAATATTTTATTTTTTTATCAAGCTAAGGTGATTACAAAGTAGTATTTATTCTAAATACTTTCAATCATTTGACGATGACTGCTCAAATTACCCCACTACAGTCGTTGGTGCCCAAACACATGACCTCTAGGTACAATAACGATTTCTTTAACTACTGACATAAGTTAATTCGTGTATTTTAGAGTATTTTTCTTAAAAGATCTCAAATATCTAAAACAAATAAAATTTAAATATTTTTATTTAAAATTTTCCACTATAATATTTAATTAATATTAATTTAAAATTTGATTATTTTGTTGATCTTGATAAAATTTGATTATTGAATACTTCCTAACCATACTAAAAATATTAAAACAATTTTACTAGACCGAATTGATGATAAGCGAAAAGAAGAAAACTGAAAACTGTAGAGTTGATGGGTGGGGCCCATATAGTACAAACACCAGACGACAAACCGACAAATGTGGGCCCATAATCACAAGCCTCGACACATCGGAGTCTGGGGCCCATCCCTGTCAATCACGACAATGTCGGATCCTCCTCAAAACCCCATGTCTCAAAAGCAAATGGCAGAATGACACCACCTACTCTCAACTTCATTAGTTTTATTGTTTTAACCCTTAATCTTTCAGTACACGTTTTCTAACCCTAAATATTTCTTTCATCAATTTAACTCGAATATAGTAGAATAGTGATGAGACTATTAAATTAAAACCGGTGATTTTATTATTTTATATCATTAATAAAATTTTAAAATTAATTATTTTATACTTATCAAAATATTAATATACATTTTCAAATATTTTTCATTCATCAATAACGGAAACAAATCGGTTAGCATTGTGATAAAGACGTAACATTTTTCATTCATCAATCGGTTTAACTTTTCATTACTATTTCTTTACATTTGAACCAATTTTATAAATTTGAAAAGTTTAAAGGTTAAAAGAAATATAATCAAAGATTTATGGACTAAGATGATTAAATTAATAAACTTGAAAGGGGTAAAATGTTGTTATGCCAAAGAAAATCAAAGAACGTAAAACACACGGGTACCGAATGAAGTGATAAAAATTGACAGCTAAAGATATCATCAACGTTAGACCCACACCTCAACATCAACCCAACCCTTCGATTCCTCCACTTTCCCCGATTTTTATTTATAAAAAACCGAAAACATTATATTAATCGGAATTGAAATCTGGTTTTCAGGTCCGAATAGTAAATATTAAACAAAAAAAGAAGGGTAAATTACACAAATCATCACTGAAAATTTATCTATTTTATTTCACTCATTGTACTTTAAATTCATTCAATTTCCTCACTTAATTTAACATAATTAACATTTTTTATCACTCAATCGTTTTCTCACTAAACGATGTTATAAATGAGTTGTTATATAGATGCAAAATTAAATCGTTTTGGTAAAAAAATTGTTTTTCTAAAACGATATCATTTCCACGCCATTTAATTTTTAACAGCCGAGTCACCAAAAATACTAATTGTATTAGGTTTAGTGAAGAAATTGAACGAATTTAAAGTACAGAGAATTAAATAAGAGAGAAAACAAACTTTATTGACGATTGGTGTAATTTACGCAAAAAAAAAGTCAAAATTTGCTTCTCCTTCGGCTCGAGGGACAGGAGACAAGACACGGTACACGCTTCCCTCTTTTAATTATTTTATTTTATTAATTAGATAAGATTACATACAGCAGAATCGTTATATCTTTCCACGCCGGTTCTGCTGGTTAACTGACACGTGACGGAATCATCTCTCTTATTGTGACATCTAAAAAAAAGTCAAAATTTGCTTCTCCTTCGGCTCGAGGGACAGGAGACAAGACACGGTACACGCTTCCCTCTTTTAATTATTTTATTTTATTAATTAGATAAGATTACATACAGCAGAATCGTTATATCTTTCCACGCCGGTTCTGCTGGTTAACTGACACGTGACGGAATCATCTCTCTTATTGTGACATCTGTCATTTCAGATATAACTGGGCTTCCTAAAATTCAAATATATCATTTTGTTTACAAACTGAAAACATTAAAATATTTAATTGCTGGGGACATAACGCAGGTGTGGGTTTTAAGAATCAGATCAAATGATAAAATTACTACACGTGGAAGTGTTAGATTAGACTGTACAATAAATTATATATTTAATAATTCAACTGTTTAAATAATTTATTTTAATCACTTAACTATTTTTCTTTATAGTCATATTTAACGTTATATTTTAATATAATTTTAATAATTTATTATTAAAAAATTAATAAAATTATTGATATAATATTTTTTTATTTTTCAATTATGAAGAAACATTATTTTATAATAATAACTAACATGTCAACATCATAAATATTCTTTTAATAATTAATCAAAATAAAATTAAAACATAATATTTATCATAATCACATAAATAATTATATAACTAAATGCATAATTTACCCTATAATATATTCACGTTCACTGTGTACCGTACAATAATATTGCTTTTTAATTAAGTAGAGATATTATATTTTCAAAATAAATATTGAAATTCGAATCCATAAAAAAATAAGAGAAGATGAACATCTTTATCTTTCAATTAATTAACGGAGTCATTTTATTTTTCACTACGAGTTTTGGCTGTCGGAGACGTTTCCGAAATTCGTCTAACGCCCGTCACCGATTTCATCATCTATAAAAATTAGAACAAATAAAAGTAATATCGAATTTGAATAAGCTGATCGAATTATATTAGACCATACTCATGGTGACACATTTGCACTGAATGCCTCATTTTTCGAAGGAAATACCATATTAAGTAGCCATCGCTGCATTTTCCACCTCAAGAAAACCACAAAACCAGAACATCAAGATTAACATTTTGTAGACACCCGTTTTTGACCGGACTTAAAAAAATATATTATATTATTATTATTATAATTACTTATTATTATTAGTATTATTATTGATTTATATACAATTATTTTGCAGGCCTCAACCCCACGATCCTAACGGCACTCCCTTCCACGTTTCTAGCCACCAAAACCATGCCCAGAAAAGAGCAACAGATGCCGAAAAAAACTGAAAGCAGTTCCTGTTTTTTTCTATTTAAAAGCAATGCTCGAGTCAAGAAAAGGGGGAGGAAGGAATTGAAGGGGGTCCTCCATTTCTGTTTTGTCCTCATTCGGTTTACCATCAAATTGTGCGTTCACGTTTTGCGAGGCATGTGAAGTTCACTGACAAATACACCCAAATCACTGTCGACGCTACTCACATTATAAGCAAAGCCTTCAACTCCCCCTCGTGACTCCCCAGTACATACATATATCGCCATCAAGAGACAAATCCGAGACTCCAAATCCAAAAACCTCAAAACGTCATGAAACTCCATTTTTTTACTCTTCATTCCATTATTATTTTTTCTTTACCTTTGGTTCATTCTACCCACCACGATTACTCCGACGCATTATCAAAATCGATTCTGTTTTTCGAGGGGCAGCGTTTGGGTGTTTTACCAAGAGACCAACGTATGAAATGGAGGCTGATTCAGGGTCGAGCATTTCAACGCTGAAGAGTATATTAAACTGGTGAGGAAGTATGGACTGGAAATTTCATAGCCTGGTCTGGAGCCAAATAGAGGGTTAACATGGCAAATGACAAAGAGAAGGGGTGATAGTGAAGTTCATAAAGAAACAGAAGAGAAACTCGGATGGTGCAGTGATCCACATGTTCCTCCCTGTGTAGTGTTTGTTGAGGGCCCTCACTCTGACTTTTCTGGACCAACTTTTGGAAGCACAACGTGCGTAGCAGTTCTAAGGAACATCAAACTTCTTGCTGCAAATGCTGGTGATTCTCGTTGTGTGATATCAAGAAAAGGACGTGTCAATGGCAGTTTGGATCTTTCAAGAGCTATAGGTAATTCACTGCCCTGCTCGATAACTATAAAAAATAAGGGTACTAATTGAACTTGTTGATTTAGTACGTAGGTTTCCAAAACAGAGGGTGTATGCCACTGGGAACAAAGTGCTAGCATTATTTCATAATTTATTTATTTTTAATATAATTTCTAATATTTATTCAATATCCATTTTTTTTATTATTATACAATCTAATAATATTATTGGCTTTTGAGGGGAATTTTTAATCAATCGAAGGTAAGTAATTTGAATTGAATTTTTAAATTTAAATTTTCGCAATTAAAGACAACCGATAAATTAATTGGTACCGAAAGGGCAGTTCAAGGGTGCTAATCCTTCCTTGACCGTAACCGACTCCCGAACCCGACACGTTTCTGGTACAACGCAGATCAGGTAAGATGGTTTCCTACCCACCTAAATTTGTTTTAAAGTGGTCGGTGGCGACTCTAACCCAACTCATTCAAGTCGAAGCCCAATTCCGGGGCCCAACTGAAAGACGGCTACGACAGCTTGGCGACTCCGCTGGGGACAGGTAAGTGAGTCAGGCCAAAATTAATTTTCCGTTGTCTTTTTATGCGAAAATTGTAAATTTTAATTTTAATTTATTTATTCGATTTCAATTATTTACCTTTGATTATTTTTCAAATAAATAGTTGTACTAACGTTTGTTCAATGATTTCAGATTTTTCATCTTTGGCTCTATACCCGAGCTCCAAACCCTTTTAAGTGGGGGTGAAAGCGACGCATTCGTGTGAATTTA